GCATTTCCTTGCTCTAGAATTCAGTGGGCCCCTGCTGTAAGTTCTCAATCAAGGCCAGCCACAGTCTACATCCATAATCACAGTCTACTTCAGACCCTTTGAACTATGTAAGATATAATTGGTCATAAGAGGTCCAGTGGCAGGGCAACTTGCCTGCAACCTAGACCAGCGGTGGAGCTTTCTGTTGTCCAGGGTCCCACTGGAAGTCATTGCTTTTACAGTTATCAATCAAATGGGAGGCAGCTGGATACCCTCATGTGTGGGACACTGCCTCCAAAATCTAAAGTAGCCGAAGAGAGTTATGCCTCTCTCTTATTTGTAGCAGGCATAAAGTATTGGTTCTCAAATTGGCAGCATTCTGGAATTACCAGGAGAGCTAATATTGATGCCTGGTTCTGACCCCAGAGAGTCTGACTCAATTGGTATGGGGTAGACACTGGCACTTTAAAAGCCTTCCCAGGTAGGCCTTGGCATGGTAGCTCAATTGGTTAGAGCATCATACTGATACACCAAGGTTTTGGGTTTGATTCCAGGTCAGGGCATATACAAGAATCAATGAATGCATGAATGGGTGGGGCAGCAGGTAGATCTCTCTCTCTCTAAAAATCAATAAGTTTAAGATAATCTTTTAAAAAATACATTTTTAATTGATTTCAGAGAGGAAGGGAGAGGAAGAGAGAGACAGAAACATCAATGATGAGAGAGAATCATTGATCGGCTGCCTCCTGAACATCCCACACTGGGGATCAAGACCACAACCCAGGCATGTGCCCTGACCGGGAATTGAACCGTGACCTCTTGGTGTATAGGTCGACGCTCAACCACTGAACCATGCTGGCCTGGCTAAAAATCAATACGTTTAAAAAGTAAAAAGATCTTTTGGGGAGAAAAAACACCTTTCCAGGATAAGAGGATTCTGGGAATATGGTAGAGTAAGAAGCACCAGGAAATCTGTCTCCTCAGCTAGACAATAATTGCACTGGCAAAAATCTGTCTGATGTAACTATTTTGGAACTCTGGAGTCTATAGAAACTTGAATGGTAAACTAAGGTTAATTTCAACTCTTCACACAGTAGCAGCGACTCATTCTCCACTTCCAGCCATCTGGTAGGCAGTTGTGCATATGTTCCTGGTGCAGTTTGCGTGCAGCTTATGCAAGCCAGGGTGGGCGTAAAGGGCCCTGTCCTCCACATATCAGGAACCTGTGCTCTGATTGCTAAATGTTGCTTCTGATCATGGAGGTACAGACAAATAGGCAGCAGCCATTGGTGTTGCACCTTCTCCCATTGTTGCGGTATTTTGTGGAAGAGCCACACTCAAGGGGCCAAAGAGTCACATGTGGCTCCCTTTCCCCTCCAGTTGAGGTGACTTCCAGTTGAGGTAACTTCCAGGGGGTTTAAAGTGCCAGTGCCCCTTTGTTCTCCTTTCACTTTCTGTCAGAGCCACCTATCGTCTTCACTAGCAGAGAAGAGACCCCCAAAAGCTAATGACCTTTGAAGCCCTAGCAAAGGTCGGAGCTGTGCACCACCCAGTTAATCTAGATAATGGTAGCTGAAGCATCATCCCCACCTTAATTCACTTAATTCCTTAGATACTCATATAAATCCTTGTTGATTATTGTTGATTAGATATTCTGCCTATTTCTGGAAATTGTCTGCTGCTGAGCTAATCTGTGTGTCATTGAAACCTCCTTACCCTAGGGCTACCCCAGATCAAATAAAAGGTTGGAGCGGCCTGAGCATCGGTGGAAGTCCTTCTGGACTTGCCCGCCTGGTCCCCCAATATTTCCAAATTATCTCGTCTCTTCTCTCTCTCATTTGTGTGCGGCTCCTCTTTCAGACCCGAACCCTGAACCACACAGGACGTGGAGGGAAACACACTCGACAGCTTTCCCTCCTTTGGAGGCATATATTAAAGAACAGAACATTCAAAAACATCTACATACATGGGGAAAATTAGTAAATGACTATGCATATTCAGGGAAAGGCTCTGAAAAGACCTTATGTTACACTTGGGCTGATCCTTGGCACAAAGACAGCTTACAACAACCAAAAAGGCAAAATCAATGAATGAAAACGAACAAAAAACAGCTAACCGTGGGGGAAGGGAGATAATCTTATTTACAGAGTTACCACAGTATTAGATTCAAATGTAGAATTTCAATAAAAAAAATCACAAGGCATACAAAGAAACAGTAAAGTATGGCCCATTCAAAGAAAAAAAATAAACAGAAACTATTCTCAGAGATGACCCTGACAAAGACTTTAAAACAACTGTCACAGATGCTCAAAACTATAGGATGATTGGAAAAAAGAAAGTCAAGAAAACACTGTACAGTAGGTCCTCGGGTTACATCAGAGATCCGTTCCTACGGCGTGATGTAATGCGATTTTCACCGTAAGTCGGAACCCACCTACATAAAGCACCTATGTCAGTCACATGGAACACATACACAGCAGTAATGAAGTGAAACAGTAAAAAAAAATTTAAAAGAAAGATAAAAATTCCTGACCTTTACTTGTGGTAAATAAATAATAAAAAACATAAAGCACATATGTACATACATCAAAATGATGGAACTTTTTTATATATATAAATAAATGGGAGATGGTGATGTAACCACGAAACGACATACTTCGAGTCCTATGTAACCCGAGGGCTGCCTGTATAAACAAAATGAAACTATCAATAAAGAGTGAGAAAACCAAAAAGAAATAATAAAGCATTCTAGAGCTGAAAATTATAATAACTGCAATGAAAAATTCACTAGGGGGATTTAAAAGCAAATTTGAGCAGGCAGAAGAAAGAATCAGTGAAGTTGAAGATAGGACAATGGAAATTATTAAGTCTGAAGAACAGAAAAAAAGATAGAAGAAAGTGAATAGTGCCTCAGAGACCTATTAGATACCATTAAGTGACTCAAAGGGGCACAAGAAAAGTTATTGGGTGATGGGGGTGTTCTATATCTTAATTAAGGTGCTTTTTACATACATGTGTGCATGTGTAACAAAGCCAGTAAAGTGTACAAACTATTTTTACTTTAAGTAAATTATACTTTATGTCAATTAAAAAAAAAATATATATATATATATATATGGCTAATATGCTAAGTGTCTGACCATCTGACCGGTTGCTATGACATGCACTGCCACCAGGGGGCAGACACTCAATGCAGGAGCTGCTGTGACGCGCACTGGCCATTTACAGAGAAACAGCGCTGTGGACCTGGTGCCAACAAAGCAACACTCGGCTTCCCCCAATTGGGACACAGGCCCTGCCACCACCCCAGAGCAACACCCCACCAAATTGCAGTTGATCCTGCCGAGACCCCTATGGAGCAAAATGTGGCCCACAGCCCAGCCCAGCCCTGAAATGGTGGCTGTGGGCGCCAGGTAATGACGTCACGTAGCAATGTCTGGCTTCCTCTCCCTAGCGACTAGCCTCCTTGCAGTTTCTTCAGCCCAAGAACACAACTTGTTTTATAGCCAGGTGGAAACATTTTATACTTTAACCCAGGGGTCCTCAAACTACGGCCGTGGACCACATGCAAATACAAATATTGTATTTGTTCCCATTTTGTTTTTTTACTTCAAAATAAGATATGTGCAGTGTGCATAGGAATTTGTTCATAGTTTTTTTTAAAACTATAGTCTGGCCCTCCAACAGTCTGAGGGACAGTGAACTGGCCCCCTGTTTAAAAAGTTTGAGGACCCCTGCTTTAACCAAATGTCTTTGAAGTGTTTTCCCGTGCCTCATCTCATTTGATCCTCACAGAAGTCCTGGAGTAGGTAGATAGGAGACTCAGTGGAATCCTATTTTCTTTTCATTAGCTGGAAAATGGAGATTTAGAAAGCTTAGAAACTTGACCCAACTGAAAAGAAGTAAGAAATGGTGGACCACGAAAATGACTTCAGGTTTTCTCACTGTGCAGAATATAGTCAAATACTGCTGCAGTTAAATATTTTACCATTTGTTTTCCCTGCATGATCTACAATAACAATCTGCTTCGTGTTGATATTTACTGCTGAGTTGCTGACAATTACCTGAAAGAGAATTCCGGGTGCTTCACTGGGCTGGAAAAAGTTTAGCTAAATCAGAAAGCAGGTCTAATTAAGCAAGTTTATCTATATATATAAAGCTCTTGCTGATGCCAATTGCACACATGTTTCCATCTGTCATTGTTGTTCATGAATTTGGTTGACATGTCTATTACAGAGAAAGGGTGAATAGCGATATTAAAATATTTCTTCTAATTAATTTCCTTTCAATGTGCACAAATTCATGCACCAGGCCTCTAGTATATTATGAAGCTTTAAAAAACTGACAAGAAACTTATATGATCCTACTTGTTTTTTAATGGGACAAAATCCAGTCCCCTGATAATGATAAAGAGAAGTTACAAGCATGTGAATTGTTATGATTGCAAGTATCTAGTTATTTCATCATCAAGAGAATCTGATGACATCATCATTCACAGAAGACTGAAATAATAAACACAAAAACTGGAGAGTACCATAGAACCAATAATAGGTTATCTGATTTATGATTTTTCAAAGGTCTTAAAAGTTCTTGCTTGAAAACTGTCTGCCCTCTTAAGATTCTCCATATGTCTTCCCAAACCACTATACCATAAATGTTAAGTCTTCAAGGAAGAAACTGTATAAAATTCCTGCATGATCTTAGGAAAACAAAAGGTAAGAGTTTGTCTCTAATTTCAACCAAATTAAGCCATAGCCAATTTCTTTTCTGCACACAACTGTATTTCCACAGATTAAATATTACAAAGGAATTTTGTAAACTTGATGGCTGAAATTCCAAGGTCAATGAACAAATAATCTAAAAATTATAGTTTAGCCTCCAGTGAGCGCTCTGAACCAATTATATATTCAAATACTTTGAGAAGGGGCACATATTTTATACTGTTATCAGTACTATCACCTATCTTAGAATGATCAACTTCATAAGATTATTTAATTACAAATAATTAAGTTTTCTTTATAATTATACAACTCTTTAGAGTCCAAGTATTTTCATAATTATCTCTTTTCTCTGACACCCTATTCTGAAAGAGTTAGGAGAGGAAGTGGTGTAATTTTTCTGTAGAAAAGAGTCCTTCGTACTTCAGAAAAGATGAATGAAGTTTATAAGATCTCTTGTATCAAGACCAGACCAGTTAATATCCTACCATTGGGTGGATAGTTCAAATAGATGGTGTCTCTTCACTGACTCAATTCTATTTCCATATAAAGCAACATCCAATGACCAGAGGTGCCTTAAATCCCAGATAAAATTTATTAAGTCATCTAGTTTAAGTCATAAGAGACACGATTCAACACAACTTATTCTCTATACATTGTACTTTATTTAATCTACTTTAATGTTTCTTTTTCCTCCCAGTAAAGGATGAGATACAAAAGAAAAATTCTATTATTATTCATTTTATTATCTCTATGGGCCTTGCAAAGAGAGTATCGATTCAGGTAATTTTAAAAAATAATGAATATTTTATTTTGGTGTTTGGTTTAAGGGTCTGGTTATGTCAGGAAGGTTATAGGTTCATCCCCTGAATAAATCAGCATGCAACTGTATCAATCCAAATACACCCAGATATATCCAAATGACATCCAAATATGTCAGCATAAATATTGCCTTCAGCGTAAAAATTCTTTGTTTCTAATGAAGTCAGAGCTAAATGTAATTTGTGTAGGCCAATATGTGTGAGGAGAAGCAATGTCAAACTGCCAAGACAGTTACTGTATAATTATGGCAAAGTAATGTTAGTAAATATTATGGAGAAATTTGTGCCATTTTTAAATAGGTGGCATCTTCTTTAAGTAACATCCTTAAGCCTACCTGGTTTTGTTCAGTGGATAGAGCATCAGACTGCGGACTGAAGGGTCCCAGGTTCAATTTCTGTCAAGGGCACATGCCTGGGTTGTGGGCTCAATCCCCAGTAGGGGGCGTGCAGGAGGCAACAGATTAATAATTCTCTCTCATCATTGATGTTTCTATCTCTCTATCCCTCTCCCTTCCTCTCTAAAATCAATAAAAATATTTTTTAAAAAGAAACATCCTTAATATTGGTGTCTTCAGGCACTATGTATGGTATTTGCCCTCCACATATTTGAGACAAGCAGAAAGGCTTCATTTGCTATTAGCAAATTTCATTGTTTTAATGATAAGTTTTTCTCATTTGTATCTAAAAATAGTTATTTTTTTAAGATATAGCATATGAGTAATATTTATCAGTCAAATCACCTCAGTAACTTTTATCATGTTCATTACTGTACTCTACAACCAACAATGTACTTGGCATATAGTATTGTGTCTTGGTCCATTTGGGCTGGATGGCTTATGAACAACAAATTTATTTCTCTCAGTTTTGGAGGCTGGCAAGTACAAAATCAAGGAGCCAGCAGATTTGGTGTCTGGTGAAGGCCTGTTCCTGGTTCATAGAGAGCCATCCTCTCACCATGTCTTCATATGGTGGAAGGGGTGAAGGAGCTCTCTGGAATCTCTCTTAAAAAGGCATTCCCATTCAAGAGGGCTTCACCCTCCCGACCTAATCATCCACAAAGGCCCTACCTTCTAATACTATCACATTGGGAATTAGGATTTCAACATATGAATTTGAGAGGGACACAAACATCCTGTCCATAACAGTATGCGTTCATTAAATATTTGGTAATATTAGGTAAAATTAGGTAATATAATGAATAGATTGAGTATAACTCTAGTCATCTTAAATGTGAAAACCCTTCATATAAGTTTAAAAGTAAATAAATATTTTTTTTTATTTATCCTAAGCACAAAGAAACTACAGAGGACATATCAATGCTGGTAAGTACTTATAAATATGCTATGACCTCTTCTTTGAGGATAAAACTGGTTAGAGGGCACTGAAAAACCTGCAAGTCCTTGGTTCCTGCAGGCAGGGTAAACCAAAGCAGTTTTACAAACACATGTTGGAGATACTCGTTTAAGGTCAGAATACTAGGAGTCAAAGAAGAGCAGACTGGCAAAGTTGCTGCCTCTGATAGAAGAGTGGCAACTGGTGAGGGGAACGAGTTACAGGAGTCAGAATTCAGCCTGTAGGAACCTTGTGCCTTTTAAAGCTATGGGCAACACACAGGAATAAAGTTTTGGCTAAAAGACTCTCAGGAGATTGCATTAACCCTATGTCACCTACCAAATCATGCCATCAGAATGTGTGCAGAAAGGAAAACTTCCCCAAATATTGTGCAAGATCTAATATCATTATATGTTCAATAGTCATGGGAATCCACATAGTGAAGTGAAAGCAACTTTCCTTTCTGATGCTTGTTGTGTCCAGGGGCCTTGTCTCTCTGATAGTTCTTTGATTTACAAGACCCCCACTAAGACCATGACTCCATACTTGGGTGAGCTGTGCTATGCATGAAAATAATATAGTAAGAAGGCTTTCATGTGCTAGGCAGATTATATTTCCCCTGTAAATAGCCATGACTAACAGGGGCAGTAACTTTCAACCACCTGAAAATAGAGGAGGAATGGGTTAAAATGCTTTCTGGCAAAATGTATTCAATGAAATACAATCTAACAATTGTTCTATTACCTAATCAGAATTCTATAGCACTATCATACTAATACTCATCATTCAAAGGCATCATTGTCAATGGAAGTGGGTGTTAGGTAGAATGCCACAACTCATTCACACTTCTGATGTTGCAGCTACTCTTATCTGTGTACTAGGCACAAAGACAGTCCCCTGGGCATGAGATTTAACCCCATCCTCTTGTTAACTAAGCCCAGGGTCAGCTTTCCGAAGGTATCCTAGCCAGGGTGTCAGTAGAGTGTGTAGCAAGAAAGAAAAGTAAGGACTCAGGCAGTTTCCACCCACTCTGTGATTATGGACAAGATAATAACTCTTTGTGCCTTATTTCCTTATCTAGTAAAATGGGGATAATAATCATAATTCCTATCTTATCAGTATGGATTACATTCGAGAATACTTAGGAAAGTTTCAATATGTATTAGCTTTTTTTGGTTGGATGATGTCTTTAATTTTTTGAAAAAATTTTTCAATTATGGTTGGTGTATTAGCTATTAATGAAAAGCATCTAACATCATCTAGCAGATCAGAAAATATTTCCCTTAAGAAGGGATAGTTAAAATGAGGCCTGAAGGTGATGTTGGAATTAGCAGGTTGAATCTGTGGCATGTTTAAGGAAATAAAATTTAAAAAAGGAAAAGGCCAATGAGCCTGGAAAATTATAAGTGCAGGGCTAGGTAGGAGATGTGGCTGGACAGCGTGAAGTGTGAGATCACGGAGAATATTTGGCCATTTAAGAGTGAGGACATCATCCTTAGACAATGGGAAGCCACTGAACTTTTGTTAAACAGAATAATGACATGGTAACACTAGAGCTTCAGAAACATGATACTGGAAGCAGAACGGAAATATGGAGAATGGGTTGAAAAGGGCAATGCAAGGATAGGCTAAGAGGGTAACACATTGCTCATTGTAGGGAATGGGAATATGGAGGCTCATTATATTAGTCTCTTCTTTAAAATATATTTTTTAAATTGATTTCAGAGAGGAAGGAAGGAGAGAGAAACATTAATGATGAGAGAGAATCACTGATTGGCTGCCTCCTGCATGCACCCTAGTGGGGATCGAGGCCACAATCTGATTTGGGCCCTTGACAGGAATCAAACCTGGGACCCTTGAGTCCATAGGCTGATGCCCTATCCATTGAGCCAAACCAGCTAGGGCTATTATATTAGTCTCTTTACATTTGTGTACCTTTGAAATTTTTGCACTAAACAGTCTTTTTAAAGTGTACAGTGAGACCAATTAGGAGGCTACTGCAGTAGCCCAGATAAACGATGATGGTGTTTTGCAGTCATGTGGTGGCAGGGAATGGAAATAAGGGATGGATCTGAGAGATGTTTTGGAGGTAAAACCAGCATGGTTTAATGATGAATTTGATGTTGGGACGTAGGGAGTGCTCTGAGTGTAGAATGATTCTCATATTTCTGCCTTGCCATTCCAAGTGGATCTGGAGAGGTAAGGCAACAAATGAAGAGGCCCTACTTTGGGGAAGAGATGATGACTTTAACATCTTCATTTTGGAGTGTCTGTGTAAACTTCAAAGAGAAGATTTCAGAATACAGTTGGATATATGAGTCCTATAATCCTTGGAGAAGTCTAGTTGTACATGAAAATTTGACGCCATAGGAAAATGCCCAAGAGAGTGTCAACTGATCAAATAAAGGGCCTCGGAGAAACCCTTCTGCAATTAATAATCAAATCAAGGCTTCTGAGCAGAATATTAAGGCTAACCTTAAACAGAAGTAGAAATATATTTCCATTGTGGTAGAAGGGAAAAATATTCAGCACTATAGGTAAATTTGTTGTTGTTGTTTTTAAAGTTTTTGTTTTTTTTAAATATATACTAGAGGCCCAGTGCATGAAATCCATGCATGAATAGGGTCCCTAGACCTGGCCCCCACCTCCCCGCCTCCTCCTTTCCTTGCTCCCTCAGCACCCTGCTGCTGCTGCTGGTCGCCCACCATGTTCCGCGCTGCCCCCTGGTGGTCAGCACTCATCATAGCAAGCGATCGAACTCCTGATCTCCCGGTTGAACTCCTGAGGGGACAATTTGCATATTAGCCTTTTATTATATAGGATATATTTTATTGATTTCAGAGAGAAAGGAAAATATAGAGAGAGAAACATCAATGATGAGAGAGAATCATTGATTGGCTGCCTCCTGCATGCCTCCTAATGGGGATCGAGCCCACAACCCCAGGAATGTGCCCTTGACCAGAATCAAACCTGGGACCCTTCAGTCTGCAGTCCAACGCTCTAACCACTGAGCAAAACCACCTAGGGCACTATAGGTAAATTTGGATGTGAGGTGGAAGAAAATTGGAGTTTTCATCTGATGGCTGCTATTTTCCCTCTGAATTAGAAGAATAAGAATGAGAACTATGGAAACAAAGATTTCTGGGCAGCACACAGGGTTAAGATGAGGTTGAAAATCATGATTTTTCCATGCCACTATTATCAAATTTCATCACTGTTTTTCTTACTGCTTCATGCTCACTTTGCATTCTGCATCTTATTATAATCCAACCCATGATTTGATAGACACTCAAGTTATCTCAAACTCTAATAAGATATAGTGTGACTCTTTGCATTATTTTTCTCCATAGGTCTGTGAAGGCTCAACCAGAATTAAATCTATCAGACTGGTTTTTCCCCAGGTAAGAATGCCAAATCTAACATGTGAAATTAATCCATAGATTGCTCAATAGAAGTTAATGAATGGCAACTGCCATTCCAAATGTGGGAGAGCAGATGGATCTTTGGTTACATTTGGAAAAATTAGCAGTGGACTAGACCCATTGGGAATGGACATTAGGACCTGCATCCTCCATGAATGAGTGTGTAGATAAAAAAACCTCAAAGGTCCTAGAATGATGGCAGGTCAAAAGAGTAAAGGTGTATTTAGGGGGGGGGGGGGGGAAGGTGTAAGGGTGTATTCAAGACCATTTGGTTGATTCTTCTTGTTTCATCAATGAGAGAACCAAAGCCCAAATCCGATAGATGGACTGTGTACTTCATGTTTAATACAACAGCTTTCCCCTACCCTCTCTGTCTCCATCTTCTTATTCTACCCATCTATCTTTCACTCTGATGCTATAGGGTTTTAGGACTTCACCTAATTAAAATTTGAAAGAAGACATCTGTTTAAGAAACTGTGGTACATCTACACAATGGAATACTATGCTGCTGTAAAAAAGAAGGAATTCTTACCATTTGCAACAGCATGGATGGAACTGAGAGCATTATGCTAAGAAAAATAAGCCAGTCAGAGAAAGATAAATATCACATGGTCTCACTCATTTGTGTAATATAATGAACAACATAAACTGATGCACAAAAACAGATCAAGAGACAGAGAAACATCGATCAGACCATCAAACCTCAGAGGGAAGGTAGGGGAGGGTGGAGGGAAGGGGGAGAGACCAACCAAAGGACTTGTATGCACGCATATAAGCCTAACCAATGGACACAGACATCAGAGGGGTGAGGGCATGAGTGGGGGGGGGCGGGGAATGGGGGGATAAGGACACATATGTAATACCTTAATCAATAAAGAAAAAATAAAATAAAAAATAAAAATTTAAATATAAAAAAAGATTATTGATATAGTCCCATAAATGGGACTGCCCATGAACCAGTTCTTTTAGTTTGTATGCTTTTAGAAATTTGTCCATTTCATCTAGGTTATCTAAGATGTTGGTGTATATGTTATTTATTATATTTTCTTATAATCCTTTTTAATACCTGTAAGGTCTATAGCAGGGGTGGGCAAACTTTTTGACTCGAGGGCCACAATGGGTTCTTAAACTGGACCGGAGGGCCGGAACAAAAGCATGGATGGAGTGTTTGTGTGAACTAATATAAATTCAAAGTAAACATCATTACATAAAAGGGTACGGTCTTTTTTTTCAATAGTTTTATTCATTTCAAACGGGCCGGATCCGGCCCGTAGGCCGTAGTTTGCCCACGGCTGGTCTATAGTAATATCCCTACTTCCATTCCTGATTTTAATAATTTAAGTCATTTCTGTTTTTTCCTTAGCCAGTCTAGTTAAAGGTTTCTCAACAAAAATGTTCAAAATATGGTTTCTGAAAATAACCAGTGTCAAAAAGCATACTTTTGTAATGATCTGGCCATTTCTGATAATCTATTCCACAAAAGAATCATTTTTTCTTTCACTGATTCTATCATTTTCCTTTCTCTGTATCAGTTGTCTCTGCTCCAGTCTTTATTATTTCTCCCTTCTGCTTGTTTTGGGTTTAGTTTGTTCTTTTTTCCTAGTTCTTAAGGTGGAAAGTTAGGTTATTGATGTGAGATATTTCATCTTTATTGATGTGAGATATTTCATTTTTAAAAAATTATAAATGTTTACAGTATATATTTCCTCCTGAGTACTGCTTTTCACTGCATCTCATAACTTTTGGTATGCTGTATTTGTATTTTTACCCATCTCAGTGTATTTTCTCATTTCCCTTGTGAGTTTTTTCTTTGACCTACTAGTTTTCTAAGAATGTTCAATTTCTTCATATTTGGGGATTTTCCAGATTTTCTTCTACTATTAATTTCTAATTTCAGTCCACTGTCAATGCAAAGATGGTTTGTATGTTTCCAACCATTTTAAGTTTATTGAGATTTGTTTTATGGCCTAACATATGATCCTGGAGAATGTTCCATGTGTATTTGAGAAGAATATATATTCTGTTGTTAATTAAAGTGTCCTGTGTGTGTCTGATTTTTTCTGCTGTCTGATCAAATCTGCTGCTGAAATCCTATAGTTCTTTGTTTGTTTGTTTTTTGTTTTTTTCATTTTAGCTATCATACTTCTCAGTTCCAGAAATTCTATTTGGTTCCTTTTCACAATTTCTGTCTCTTTATTTGTACTCTCTACTTGTAGAAACAATGTTCTCCTGGTTTCCTTTGGTTCTTTGTTCAAGTTACCTTTGGCTCTTTGAGCATATTTAAAATAGTTGATTTAGAGTCTTTGTCTAATAAGCCCAATGTCAGGGCTTCCCCAGGGATTGTTTTGTTATTTTTTTCCTTTGAATGGGCAATACATTCTTTTTCATTGCATGCCTCATAACTTTTGGCTGAAAATTAGACATTTTATTTTATTTTATTTTATTTTTTAAATGAAGGCTTTTTAAAAAAATATATATTTTATTGATTTTTTACAGAGAGGAAGGGAGAGAGATAGAGAGAGTTAGAAACATCGATGAGAGAGAAACATCGATCAGCCGCCTCCTGCACATCTCCTATTGGGGATGTGCCCGCAACCCAGGTACATGCCCCCGACCAGAATCGAACCTGGGACCTTTCAGTCCGCAGGCCGATGCTCCATCCACTGAGCCAAACCAGTTTCGGCGAAAATTAGACATTTTAAATATTATGATGTGCTCATTCTGGAAACCAGATTATTTTGCTCCTCGGCGTTTGTTGTTCATGCTCACTGTGAGTTGCAGGTGTTTGTCTATTTAGTCCCTTTTCTAAACAACTTTTTAAAGACTGTATTCTTTGTCTTCTTTGGTCTCAGAGGTCTCTGTTCCTTTAGTTTGTAGCCAGGTAATAGTTTCACAGAGATTCCGTAAGTGCCTAGAGCTGGGGTGGAGGAGATGTTAGAGGTCAGTAGAAGAAAGATTTTAAAAAAAAGAGAAAGAGGAGGACGAGGATGAAGAGAAGCAGGAGAAAAGAAAACTAAGAAAAGAACAAAGAAAATCTCACAGTCTTTGAAGACTAGCTCTGTATTTGGACCCTCCTTCAATACAGCCCAGATATTTACAACTCTGCCTTAGCCTTCACTTCCTCCTTGCACTCTGCCTGAATAGCAGCAAGAGATTAAATCATTGGGTCTTCACAGATCTTCTTCTGAGCAGGCATCATGGGATCTTGTCAAAGCCCTTACTTGCCAAGGAACTCTTGCAAACTTTTCCTCCCAGGCTTTCAGCATATTTAATTTTTATTCCTAAACCTAACCTTTTGCCCCAGGTGGCAGGGCTTTGGTCCTTTTTAAAATATTTTCAAGGTGTACCCTCCACTTAGTCATTTTTCCATTTTGAGAGTTCAAAATTAAGTGAAACAATCAGTCCTTCAGAAAACTCTTAACAAACGCAATTCCTTGGGAATTGGGTCCACTCTTCTCCCTCTATAATCAGATACTTACACTGAAAACATAATTTGCTGTTTTCAATACAACCACCATATGGGGAACAACTTGGTACAAGGCTAAGTTAAAAAATATCACATAGCTTTCCTACTCCTCCATATTGAATCATCTTTTTCTCGATTTAACTTTTGCTTGGTTGCTCTAAACCTTTGGCTATCCTTCAGAGTTTTGACAAAGTTGATTCTAGCAGTACGCAGTAACATTAGTACTGAAAACACTTGAGATTATGAAAACTGGGAAATTCTGTGTTCAAAATATGGTTTCTGAAAATAATCAGTGTAAAAAATACTAGGACCATGATATTTTGTCCAAATATAAGATAAATTATTACTCAAAGATCTTGGAAAGAGTATAACTAATCTGTAAGTGTACTTTTGTAATGATCTGGCCATTTCTGATCAGCTGTTTCCCCAGTTTATCATAACCATCAACGCTTGGGGTTAACAGATGGTAGGTAGGTCACTAAGGATGGAAACTGACCCAGGTATAGGTGATCTTGTCCCAAAGTCATACACTTGCCACAGTCCCAATCAGCACGATTGTAGATGACTTGGGTTTAGGGGGGTTGTGGTGGTAGAGAGACAAATCAGTGGTTGGCTTCAAATGTGGCAGTGAGCAGGACCACAGGGGAGCCATTTTTACATGCAACAATCTGTCCTCATCCCAAGGAATGAATAGGCACTTTAGAACCTTATCTGCTTTCTGACCAAGAATTTCTGAGCCAGGATTCAACTACTCTGCGATCGGCTGGAGGTAGTGAATAGAGCTCCTCTGGACACCTGCAGCCACTGGTCTCATGGGAATGAACCATTCAGGACAGAAAGGACAGTGAGATCTGAGAGTACATTTGCTTCTCAGTGGAGAGATCTCCCAGAGCCCAATCTCCTGAAGAAACCCACCTCAGTCCAGTCCTTCATTCAGGGCCCAATGGCAGTTGAAGCAGTTCTGGCAGGACTCCCGACAGAAATCAACTGTCTCATCTTTCTGGATGACCTGAGAGACCCTGTCACCATCGAATGTGGGCACAACGTCTGTAGCTCCTGCATCCAGCCGTCCTGGGCTGATGTACAATACAGGGTTCCTTGCCTGTATTATACATGCCAAGAGAGGTGCTTGAGGAGCAACACCCAGCTGGGAAGGATGATTGACATTGCCAATCTCCTCCAGACCATCAGGGGCAAGAAGCAGCAGCAGGAAGAGAGGGGTTTGTGCAAGAAGCACAACCAGGTCCTGACCCTCTCTGTGAGGAGGACTTAGAGCTGTTGTGTCCCATGTGCACTCAGCTCCCTATCCACCAGGGCCACCAGGTGAGACCCATGGGCGAGGCTGCCTGTCATCACAGGCTGAGGCTCTACAGTTACATCAGTAAGCAGATGACCCACGTTCAGAAGTTAATAAGCATTCAAAGCAAAAAACTCATAGAACTGAGAGAGAAGGTGCAAAACAGAAACAGAAATGAGCCTCTGAATTTGAGTCTCAATTTATAGAGCGAAAGCAAGAGGAAGTTCTCTCAAGGCTAGCTGAAGAAGAGAAGGACATTCAACAGAAACTCATTGCAAACACAACTGCATTTTCAGGCCATCTTTCCAACTTTAAAGGTGTACAAAAGGAGGTGGCGGAGAAGAACGTGATGCCAGATGTGAAATTGCTGATGGATATCAAGAGTGTCCTCCACTATTATGATAACCTGAAACCTCCAGCTATCTATTGGTGCCAGTTAAGGAGAGAAGAATTCAGTCTTCCTCCGCAGGGTTCAGCCCTGCAGAAAATTATAGCGATTTAGAGAAGTTATCCTGGATCCTAAGACTGCAAATCCTAATCTACTTATGACTGAGGATAAAAAGTCTGTGAGATTTGTGAGGAAAAAGCCAAGTCTTTGTCAGAATCCAAAGGGATTTGCTGTTGACCCAGTTGTCCTGGGTTCTGAAGGGTTTGACTGTGGCCAACATTACTGGGTGGTCCAGGTGGATGACAAGCCTCAGTGGGCTGTGAGGGTTTGAAAAGACTTCTTTAAAAGGAAGAGAAAGCAGCACCTGCCAAGACGAAAAGAACAGATGTTGGACGATTCAGCTGCAGAATGGTGATTATGTGGCACCAGGGTCTGTTCCTGTCACCCCTGTGCTGAAGGAAATGCCCAGAGGGATTGGCATCTATCTGGACTATGAGTTGGGTCAGGTTTCGTATTATAGTTTGAATGACATTTGAATGACATGTCTCACATCTATTTCTTCATGGATACATTTTCTAAAGTGCTAAAGCTTTACTTCTATATCTGATATGACTCCAAACCTCTTACAATCTGTGCTGTAAGAGATTAGGAAAGATGAACTGTGACTTTGCTTCATGTTCTTCCTGTGATTTATGGACAGTATGTAGCATTTTGTACAACTATCAGTGACTCTAGCACCGATAAAGAATATTATTTAATGCTTACTTGACTTTACATACATGAACAATGTTTTTCTTATTTTGTTTTCTATTTTTTTAAATTTTGTTTCAATAGCAGTAGAGATGTTGTGGGAACTAACAGATGTGGGGGTTAACTGTCAAGTGTTTCTGGTATAAATTGTGTATAAAGTGTATAAATAAAGTGTATAAATTGTAAAATTAAAAAAAGGCTTAGGGTTAAAAGGAAATGCTGCAATCAGACACAAGATTTATATATAAGTAATATCTACTACAATGTTATCAAAAGGCATTTTGTTCAAAAACTTATGTCTTTCTTACAGAGCATCCACAAATGCAACTACTGACTGGTTAGCTCCAGTTGTGTGGCATGGCACTTATAAAGAAGAAGTACTGGAAAATTATTATGCACATCATAAAATTACTGTGGGGCTGACTGTGTTTGCTGTGGGAAGGTAAGTAATACTATGTATCCTTTACATTCAGGCCTTTTATTGTAGAAAATTAGATATTATCAATAATTCCACCTAAAAAATCTAGAAAAAGTAGAGCAAAATAAAGCCAAAGCAAGCAGAAGTAAGGAAATAATAAAGATAAGAACAGAAATCCATGAAATTGAAACAGAAAAGCTATAAAGAAAACTCATGAACAAACAGCTCGTTATTTGAAAAAAAATTCACAACCATCCATTTCTTTTCTGGCAAAGAAAAAAATGACACAAATTACAAATATTGGGAAAGAAACAGGTTATATTCCTCAGACCTTCAGATATCAAAAGGTTTATCAGGGAATACTACAAAACACTCTACACACATACATTTAACCACTTAAATAAAATGGGCTCTGAAAACCACAAACTACCATAACTTACCCAACATGAAATAGATCATTTGAATTGACCTATATCTACTGAGGAAATAAAATTTATAAATTTAAAATCTCCCAAAGTCTACAGGTCAACATGTTTTCATTGAAGAATTCTACCAAGTATTTAAAGAAGAATTAACATCAATTCTATACAATCTCTTACAAAAATCAGAAGAGGAGGGAACACTTCCCAATTCACTTAATGAAGCAAGTGCTGCCCTGATAGTGAAACTATACCAAAAAAGTACAAGAAAGTATTACATAAAGTTGAACAATGTATCTATTATTCATTAAAATTATAGTTTTTAGTAGCATGCTATTAAATAGATAGTTATCTATATATATAAAAGGCTAATATGCAAAGTGTCCCCTTGGGAGTTCAACTGGGAGACTGGGAGTTTGATCGCTCGCCATGACATGCGCTGACCACCAGGAGGCAGCATGGAATGAAGTAAGGCCCTGGCCAGCAGCTGGGGAAGGGAGGCCCTGGCCAGTAGCTGGAAGGTCCTGATTGGCCCTTATCACTGGCCAGGCCCATGGACCCTACCGATGCACAGATTTCGTGCACTGGGCCTCTACTTTTTTATAAAGAAAACCCACAGAAAGAGGAAGGAAGAAAAAGCCCAGCCGGCGTGGCTCAGTGTATGAATGTTGACCTATGAACCAGGAGGTCATGGTTCAATTCCCAGTCAAGGCTCATGTCTGGGTTGTGGGCTTGATCCCCAGTGGGGGGCATGCATGAGGCAGCCGATCAATGATTCTCATTATTGATTGTTTCTATTTCTCCCTTTTCCTTCCTCTCTGAAGTCAATAAAATTATATTTTAGAAAGAAAGAGAGAGAGAGAGAGAGAGAGAGAGAGAGAGAGGAAGAAAGGAAGGAAGGGAGGGAGGGAGGGAGGGAGGGAGGGAGGGAGGGAGGGAGGAAGGAAGGAAGGAAGGAAGGAAGGAAGGAAGGAAGGAAGGAAGGAGAGAAGGAGAGAGGGAGTGAAGGAGGAAGGGAGAAAGGAAGAAACAAAGGAAGGAGCAAAGGACTTGTGAGCCTTGTTTTTTCAAAGTTCCCTGATAGCTGTTCTGAGGTTTTGAACAACCTTATGAAAGCATCTTGCAATCATAAGAACCACAAGCGCTGGGCCAGCCACATTGTTGGTAGGGAAATGTCTGTGTGTGTGTGTGTGTGGTGGGGGGAGTGGGGGACTGGAGGGGGGTGTCTCACCACAAGTAGTAGGGCTCCAGGTGAGTGGCTCCAGGCCTTCCTAGCCCTTGAATCATTATCAATAGGCTGAGACTGACACAAAACAGCCCTATATCATGCCACACTAAAAAATTAATCCAAATGGATTATAGACTTAAATGTGAAAGATAAAACAATAAAGCTACTAAAAGAAAATGTAGATTTTCACTACCTTAAAGAGGCAAAGCTTTCAGAAACATGACACAAAAGCACTAACCATAAAGAAACATGGATAAATTGGACTTTTTTAGATTTAAGTTGCTAGCTTCCAAGATTTCATTCAATTTATTACTAATGGTCCATTGTATATGTATATATACCACATCTTCTTTATCCATTCATCTGTTGATAGACACTTAGGCTTGGCTATTGTAAATAATGCTGCAATGAACATGGGATGCACATATCTCTTCCAATTAGTGTTTTTGTTTTCTATGCATAAATGCCCAGAACTTAATTTTAATGATTATATAAACATTATCTGAAGCTGAGCCACATATGATTACCTTTAACTTTTAAAAATTTACCTGAGGCTATTTATTACTCTGAGACTCTTTTACTGGCTTGAGAGACTAGAAATGAGAAAGTTTATTTTCCAATCCAGTTATCTTAGCACAGTACTAAAAGCCACAAAGCAAAATAAGAAAGTCAGTGCAGATATTGGGGTATGAATTATTTCACCTCTGACTGTTTATACATAACTGACTACTCATAAAGTGCTACAGGCAGCAATAACTGCTTTTAAAACGACCCAAGGCCCTTTTCACCTACAACCTTCAGAGCAAGTTCCCATTGCTCTGATATCCCTGAAAACTCTGGCTCTCACCTTGCACTGGGCTCTGTGCAGTTCCTAATCTCACCAATTTCATTCACTCTTGTGAGGAATTCCTCTTCTCTCCCATAATCCACAGAACCCATTAGGAAGAGCAAAGGCAGATAATTTCACTTTCTTTTATACTGCCTTAAATACAACTCAAGAAGCATATTTAATATTTGGTTGCTTAGTAGCACTTTTGGGTAAACTATAGTCAGTATAATTAAAATATTATTGTGTTCCACTAAAATATAAGAAAATGAACTTGTTTCTTTTTTACTTCACAGATATATTGAATTCTATTTGTTCAACTTTATATCATCTGCTAATAAGCATTTTATGGTTGGCCAGAAAGTCATAATTTATGTTCTGACAGATAATTTGTCCAAGTTTCCTTGGATACAGCTGAGTCCCCTCCGGACAATCAAAGTTTTTGAAATTAAGCGAGAGAAGAGATGGCAAGATATTAGTATGATGCGCATGAAGACCATCAGCGAGCATGTTGTAGATCACATACAATATGAAGTTGACTACCTCTTCTGCATGGATGTGGATCAAGTCTTCATGCAGAAATATGGATTAGAGACCCTAGGGGAGTCAGTGGCTCAGATACATTCTCATTGGTATAATGCACATCCTATAAAGGTACCTTATGAGAGAAATAACTTATCAGAAGCATACATACCTATTGGTAAGGGAGACTTTTATTACCATGCCGCTGTATTTGGTGGCACTCCCATTCAGGTTCTCAACATTGCCAGGGAGTGCTTCAAAGGAATCATGAATGATAAGAAAAATAACATTGAAGCGGTGTGGCATGATGAAAGTCACCTAAACAAGTATTTCTTTCTCCATAAACCTACTAAACTCTTATCTCCGGAATATAGCTGGGATATTGATAAAAAACGTACTGGTGAAATTAAAGCTATTAAAATCCGTTGGGCTCCTAAACATTATAACATTCTTAGAGCAACACATAATATTGAAGCCCTTCCTTTACAGTTCTGAATTTAAGAGCATTGTTTTGTCTTATATCTTAGGTAATTAGCACTTGACAAAACTTAGCACTAAAAAGTCACTAACAAAATGGCAAGCCCACCAACATAGCACACTCATACTCTCATTTTGAACTGTGTAAAATGAGATGTAGCAGTTGCAAAAAGAATGTGTTGACAATAGATGATAATATAGCTATTTCATATTCTCTGTGAATGTTGAGGATATATTATTTGTTGGATCACATTCAACAAAATAGAACCTGTCACAAGAAAGTGAAACTTGAAATATTTTCATTGATCAAAGTAGGTATATATGCATTTCTCATATTGCTTAAGGAAAGAGATTATCTAAAAGTGTGGGTAAGGGAAAGTCACTGCAACTATACTAATATACTCTATGTAAAACTTTGACGACATTAAAGCTGCCACCAGATGGGCAGACAATTACTTAGGAAATTTTGAGTCATTCAAAAAGAACTATGTATTTTAAAACTTACAAACTTTTTGTTATAAAAACTAATGAAAATAAAAATAATATACGAGAAAATTGAAAGCCTCCCTTTATTCTCCCTTTGAAAACCTGCCCCTCAATATCCTATATAATAAACGGTTAATATACAAATAGACCGAACGGTGGAACAACCAGAACAACCAAACAACCGGTCTCTATGACATGCGCTGACCACCAGGAGGTATGTGCGGAACATGGCACTGGTGCTGGTCGTTGCCATTGGGGCGAGCCTCTGGTGGTTACTGAAAATTCTTTGCTCCCACTCACACTGTGGTCCCGCCCAGCGCTTGCACCTGCTGCTAGTGCTGGCCCTGCTTGCACCCACTGCCAGCGCCCAGTGCCATCCCTGATCACTCAGTGCTATCAGCCGGTGTGACCTGTGGCTGCAATCGCTGCTCAGGGCTTCTCCACCTCCTTCTGCTCCTGAGAGGAGATCAGGACCAGCAGCCGCCTCTCACACCCACTGCCTGCGATGGCCCTGCTTGCACCCACTGCCAGTGCTGGCCCTGTTCGGTCCTGATCGCTTGGCATCATCAGCGGGTGCGAGCAGCAGCTGAGGCCTTCTCCACCTTCCCCTGCTTCTGAGAGGCAATCAGGACAGCAGCCACCTCTTGCACCTGCTGCTGGTGCCAGCCCCAATCGTTCTGTGCCTTTAGGGGGTGCAAGTGGGGCCGGTGCCGTCAGCACATGGGAGCAACGGCGGCAGGAGTGGGGCTGCGACAGACAGGGGACCGGGGACCATGCCTGGAGGGGCCGGGCAGGGGTGCAGAGGATGGGCCAAGACCCGCCCCTGTGCCTACCATAGCCTTGCAGCCCACAGTTCCTTTCAAGGTGCACAAATTCATTCACTGGGCCCCTAGTCCTATATAATAAAAGCATAATATGCCAATCGACCAAATGGCAGAATGACCTGTCGCTATGACACGCACTAACCACCAGGGAGCAGATGCTCAACGTAGGAGCTGCCTCCTGGTGGTCAGTGCGTTCCCACAGGGGGAGCGCCACTGAGCCAGAAGCTGGGCTCAGGGCTGGCAAGAGCAGCGGCAGTGGCAGAAGCCTCTCCCACCTCCGCTGCAGGTGGCCAGTGAGGAGTGAGGGGTCCTGTACTGTGAGAGCCCTGGACTGCAAGAGGGATGCCTTACTGCCAGCTTAGGTCCAATCCCCAAGAGAATCAGGCCTAAGCTGGCAGTCAGACACCCCACAAGGGGTCATAGACTGTGAGAGGGCGCAGGCCTGGCTGAGGAACTCCCCCTCTCCCCCACACAATGCATGAATTTCATGCACCGGGCTCTAGTTACTTTTATATGCGCTTATATACCCACCACATGAATACACACACACACACACACACACACACACACACACACACACACATGCTGTGTGCTTATATAATATTTATACAAATTGATTTATTGCACACATACATACATGCACACACATTTATCAGTAGTCAGGGTCCAGTTAGAAAAACAAACTACTATTATAGGTATTCCAAATAGTAGCAATTAAGATAGTGAATTGGACATATAGATGATAAAAGAACTGAGACGTATACAAGGGGGAGTGAGGCAATCCACAATATTTTTTTAATGAAGGTAATAGCAGTTCTAGGGCTGGAGGAGAAATTTTAAGATGTCCAAAAAGAGCTACAACCCCGCATGAGTCACCTGGCATGAGTTGGGACAACATAGAAGTTCTAGTCATTTCTAAAGATGCCATTCAATATGCATAGCACATGGACACAGACAATAGTGTGGTGAAGGCCTGAGGTGGGAAGGGCTGGGTTGAGGGGGTAGAGAGGGAAATGGAGGACATCTATAATACTGTGCTTTTCCTTTAAGTGCCGGGAGCCGGTCCATCCTTGCTGTTTCAAGGGGCCTGGCATATATGGCATACTGTTCTTAATATGTTTGCTCACCTTCTTGGCACTATGTGTTTTAACCAAGGTCACCTCTCGGAGAAAGGTTGTTTCCCCAGGTAGGGATTTTCCCCTGAAGTTAGGGAGGGAATAAAACCCCTTAACTAAGTGCCAGGTGGGTAATTAATCACTTTAACTATGAACAATCATGCTTAAGCTACATAATCTTTACTCCCTGGAATGGAGATAAGAAACGCCCTAACCTTTGGAATAGAGATTGATAGGATTGGAATCAACTGGTATAAATACAGATGTAACAAGACAACAGGAGACAGAACCTACACACAGAACCTAGACACAGAACCTAGAGACAGAACCTAGACACAGAACCTACACAGAACCTAGAGACAGAAGAACTTCGCTGGAGAGAACATGGCAAAAGATCCTGGACAGAAACTGGCCACAGAACCTAGAGACAGAACCTAGTGAGAGAACCTGGCTGAAGAACCTAGAGACAGAACCTGGCTACAGAACCTGGATAGAACATGGCAAGAGAACCTGACTAGAACCTGGTGACTGAACCTGGCTGGAGAACCTGGACAGAACCTGGCTGGAGAACCTAGCGAGGGAACATGGCTACAGAACCTGGCTGGAGAACCTGGAGAACCTGGCTGGAGAACCTAGCAAGAGAACATGGACACAGAACCTGGCTGGAGATCCTAACCAGAACTTCACTGGAGATCCTGACCAGAACTTGGCTAGAGATCCTGGCTAGGCTGCTGATCAACTGAACGCTGTCTCCGTGTCATTCCTTTTTCACCGACTCCGTCCACACCTTTGGGGACCCCTGGACCTGCTGGGGCTGGACCCCAGCATTTAAGCTCTCTGGTGTCATTAGATATAGCTATTTCACATGCCAGTTGGTCCTTGATATCTTTATATCCTTCATGTCATTAAATAAGTTAATATATGTGTGTACTATAGTCTCTGGTGCATAAGTGTTATCATCATCATCATCATCATCATTGTATATTTTTATGGCAGGAACTATTATTGCCCCAAAGACTTTGCCTTTGATGAACATCTCATTCATGGGATAATTTAATTAACTGTTTAATACTACAGTCCGTAGGTTGCCTGAAATCCATCTCTGAATACTAATGTGAGTTTTCTATTGCCTTTAACCCAAGCAAGGCCTGATAATGAATTTTAGGTTCCTTCTTTACCCCAAGTGTATGTTGCCTATAACCCACTTTCTTACCTGGATTTGTCAGAGCATTGAAACTGACTCTGATTCATCTAAACAGAGAATTTATGGAATGGCATGTTGGATGGGGAAATTCAACCCTCAAATCTTAGTGGCCTAATATGAAAAAGTTTCTCATTCACCTACATATCTGGTGAGGGCTGGAGCCAGGAAATTACTCCATGTTGTCACTTGGGGACCCAGAACAATGGAGGGTCTGCCATCTGTGGTATTGCTAGTTACAATGTCAGGGAAAGACACTAGAGAACCGTACAGGAGCTTATCGGTGCCTCAGCCTGGACTTATTGCATGCACCTGCCTGTGCAAAAGGGCTAGAAAGTAGAGTCTGCTATTTGCCTTCGAAGGAAGGGAGATCTAGAGAGTGGTGAGTAATAGTAATGTTTCTGACCCTTCTGTAGGGTCAGAAGCAGTTCACAGTACTTAGGAAAAGCTGCTGAAAGATAAATATAAAGGAACTAAGGGAGGAAACGCATGGATAAAATCTTGCCATAGGTGACCCCTCACTTATTATCTCCCTGCTGACTTCCATACTCTTAAAAACATCTGCCATGTTAGTCCTTGACTATATTAAAAATAATTTCAAACTGACCTACCTTAATGTTCAAAGTCCAAGGTAGGATAATCTGGTAAGCATACCAGGTAGTTTAAGTCATGTGCCCATGTTTTAGCTACAAGGGGCAGGGACAGGAAATTTCTGCCCATTTCAGCTTCCATACTGGACTGAATTTAGGATTCATGCTAAATAAAGTGCATTCAGATTCTAGGCAACCAAAACATAAAAATGTGTATATTTAAGAATTTTATATAAATAAAGCATACAGTATGTGCTACTTTTTTTTTTTTTTTTGGCCTGGCTTTTTTTTTACAGTATAATTATTTTGAGGCCCATCTATGTTCATACATGTATCAATACTCTGTTCTTTTTTATTTCTGAGTACTAACCCACAGCTTGTTTATCCATTCACCTGTTGACAACCATTTGGGTTGTTTTCACCTTTTGGCCACTGCCAAGAAAACAACCATGAACAATTATAAATAGGTCTTTTTTTATAAACATATGCTTGCATTTCTCTTGGGTAAATATCTAGATGAAGAATTGCTAGATTGTATGGTTAATTTATTGATTTTTTATAGAGAGGAAGGGAAAGGGATAGAGAGTTAGAAACATCGATGAGAGAGAAACATCCATCAGCTGCCTCCTGCACACCCCCTTCTGGGGATGTGCCCACAAGCAAGGTACATGCCCTTGACCGGAATCGAACCTGGGACCCTTCAGTCCACAGGCCGACACTCTATCCACTGAGCCAAACCTGTTAGGGCAAAACTATTTTTAAGGAAGGACAAAATAAAGGTGCCTGCTACCTCAAATTAAGAGTGATTATCTCAGGACAGTGTGATTACGTTTGATTATCATTTTCTTCTTTGTGCTTTTATGCACTTGACAAATTTAATAACATGAAAATGTGGTACTTCTATAATCAGAAAATAAGTACATTTAAGAAAGCATAAGAAGGAATTAGCTTTACCTTAGATAATTGAAAGCATAAGAAGGAATTAGCTTTACCTTAGAAAAAAATGTTGCACTTTTGTGTTATTCATATGCATGCATATACACACACAGCACACCAAAATATATTTATAGAGTTAAAAAATCAATCACTGAAAACAGCAAGAAGTACAACAACAAAAACTAAAAGCAAAACAGTTAAAATCCTTGACTTTTTCAAATGGGACAAAGTTCTATCATCTAGTAACAATGAGAAGAACTTGCTACCAAATGTATCATTATGACTTTCTAATGCTTTCATCATCAAGAATCTGGTGACATCACCATTAGCAGAAGATTCAAACACAAGGAGAATATTAGATAGTATCTTTTATTTTTATATATCTATTTTTTACAAAGACCCAAAATTATAATGCTCGGGAAAAGTTCTAAGACTTTCTCTTTGCATCACCAAAACTAAAGGTAAGG